AGCTCTGTCCATTGGTCTGGATACTTACTCTTCTACTTGATTTTGTTTTCATACGCATAGTCTTACATCGGTATTGCATATTCAATAAAACTTCACCCATAACGCACTCCTCGAATTTCGCCATTTCATTGTTAGTCAAGCTGGGAACTGAGTATGCATCGATCTATGAAGCTCTTCATCAAACTTTCACGCGAAATAAAATTCCACCCGAAAAATACCAGATAGATTAGCTTCAAATCCATCAGCTTATTGACCAAGGTCTGTCTTACTCTAATTTTAAGAGGAAGAATGCTTAAAGTATATAGGAGAGATAGGAACTTGAGCCCTAGGTAATTGTTGGTAATCTGTAGAGGTGGATTGACCTCTTTTTTACAAATTGATCGGAGTGACAGAGATCTTTTATTTGTCACATTCACACAAGTCTGATAATATCCGCCATGTGATGATGAACGGTCTGTTTTCACCCGAAATGAGGGAGGATTTCTTGTGGACTGCGTCAACCTGAATGTCGCATTAAAGCCAAACGACTGCAGTACAACGGATATCAGCCGTTGTCTTCTGGTGAGATCGACCTTCGAATCTTTTTATGCACTTTGATACTAAATGAAAGTCTCCCCAACAAAACCTTTCATTCATTCATCGTTTTTAGGCGGCGGCTCTGCACATCTTCGCACTAGATTGAAACTTACTCATTTTTATACGAATTATGTTTGAGACATCGGCATTCTTTTCCCTGGTCAGATTGGAAGTCCATTCCTCATAGCTCTTTAGCTGAGCATATACTACTAGGACCAAATCCATACAGATTTATAGCAGAAATTACTAGACTCTTTCATCTATTGAGTGACTATATGTGGTTAAATGTCAAGGTAATTGACCAATAAAAATGAGTGGTTTGGTAAGATAATATAACCAACACTCAAAACAGTATAAAATCATTCACATCCCAACAAACTAGGAATTTCTGAGGAAATCTCAGGAGCCCACTGCTGATTGCATTGACACTCCTGTTAGGATGAACGAAAGAAAAAGAACCATGTTTAGTTGAGAAAATGCCAAGCAAATCCAAAAAGATTTTCATTGAGGATATGCTCCAAGAGCATTATTATTCAAGCTTAATAGGAGCCATAAGCAATTTTTGAGAAATAAATAAGATTGAATAAATCGCGTTGCGAATTGGTAGATTATTTTGGTAAGCAAAGAAGCACATACCAGGATGATGGTCTGGCTAGAGCATGACTCAAGGAAGTGCAATCAGTCTCCGAAAATCTGACGTCCGTCTTCAGAGGAACTGCAACCAGATGGGTTGGACAGCAGCAGACTTGATGGGGATTATTTTGGTGTCGATGATGGAGTTTACGCCTGTTACTAGAATGTTGAGTGGCTGAATAGCCATTCTCCTTGACGGATTTACGGCAAACCCGGCAGATTGTATGTAATCGGCAGTTAAACCCGCAAGTTGGAGTTATCAAGCCGTTCTTGGATTGGATTTGCCTAAAATGGCAACAGCAGGTGGATTGGCTACAATCAAGAGAGCAGTGGTCGTATCTTTTGTGAGAATGTTGTGAGTATCTGGGTTGACAATGGTGATAGTCTGGTGCAGCATGAAAATCGAGACGCGACTGAGGAAGGCAGGCCGATTGACGGTTGAGGTGCAGCTGGGCATGCTCACAAATTGAGAGGCTTGAGCATGCATGACACGAGTCGAGCTTACGATCCACGGAAGTTGAAATGGCGGGAGAAAGCAAATTAGAATCTTGGCAGGCGTGCTCTGAGCCATAAACTTTGCTCTCAAAATATGATAGCAAAGCACCATCGCCACAGGGTCGGATCGGGCATGTTACTGAAGGGCTTAGGCATTGCTCAGGCGTACAAGAGATTAGCTGTTGATTCTAAATTAAGAGGTACGAAACAAGAAAAAAACATCACTGCAAGCTACAGACCAGCGAGTCATTAAAAAGAGCGCACAAAACCATCAAAAATAGCCGATGCCACATTAAAAAAATAATTTATGGGGCTTAAGAATGAATATGGTTGCCTCCAATGAACAAGTAAAATTAAAATGCTCTAATAATAGTCAGATTTGGGCTTAAATGGAATGTCGCGGCACTCGAAATTTGTTTAAAGAATTCCCAAATATGTTTATATATTTTAAGAGTGAACTTGAATAGAGGGAATTCAAACTAAAATTCACTAATTGCTAGAACTGTGAAGTGACACAACAAAAACCCTGCCATAAATTCTAATTATAAGTCCCCTTTAATAAATCTTTCGGAAGATTTTGAAGGTAACCTAATGTAACACAGAAATATTCCGAACAAGTTATAAAATTAAATCCTTTTTGAGTTCTTATACGGGAAAGGGGTGGTAACGTGGTGACTAGGGCAAATCAAATGTCGAGAGGGAGCAAAAGTCTTGAATGAATACAGCTCTAATCATTCTTTAATAATGAGCTGGGCTGGAAAAGCGAAATATAACAGGCTAATTACCTGAAAGGGTTTGGCTAGATTTTATACTAAAATCCAGAGGCAAAAATCAGACAAAAATCTTACAAGTTTTGATAAAACCGCGAAGAAATCCCTCTGAAATAAATTTAAGGAATTAAGGCTTTGACGACTATAAGTGTCGTGAAGGGTTAAACCTTCGCTACAATTACGGCCGACCTAGGTAAACTTAAATAATCCTTACTAGCTAACTGCCAAAGAGCAGCATATAAAGCAGGAAGCATAATTTCGTATCACAGCTGCCAACTTGTGAGCTGAGTCTGTATCAGAAGTCTTACACCTCAGGAAATTCATCAATCAAATGATAACGGAGACTAAGCAAAGCTAGTCACCACAACAAGCCTGAGTAATAATTTTTAAATCCCTACATATCCATAGCACAACAGCTCAGAAAAAAACTTGTGATAGCATACGAGTTTTAGTGTAATAAGCTAGAAATATCTGGTTTCTAGGCTATCGGAATAAAATCAAGCAGGTAATAATAAGTGGTGACAAACGTAGAGATCCTAGAAGTCGTTAGACCTCGTTTTAGAAACTTGATAATGCTATAAGAGGTACCTAGATTAACCAACAACAAACCGTGGACTTCGTACGTCCTCACAAGTTTCGCCGACATCGTAAGTGGGCCCTATCACTCTTAAAACTATCCTATAATTCATTAGAGGAAAGCATAGCCCTTCCCCTAAAACCTTTTAGCTCAACAGATATGGTATCACTTCCCCTATCTTGATACATTCACATGACTCATATCCTCGTATCTCAACCTTCACATTAGATAGCTTTCTGAATAATCTCCTCTTGGGTGCCCATTGTAGCTTCATTGCGAAATTGATACATTAGCCAAGTTAGCCCATAGATTTCAGGAATTTCGCTATGGTTTTCCTACCAAACGTGTGCTAAACAGTTGTGGTATCTCCCCTTCTACCCTGGGCTATTCATATTTCCTATATTCTCCTATTACGCCTTCACAATTACAATTTTAACCGTGCCCATTTAGATGTAGTGTGGTGTGCTCCTTTAAGCGGCATTCATGAAAACTCTTCACTCCACGCTGTCGTTCTCATCCCCTTCACCCTTGTGCTGGGAATGCTGATCAGAGTCTGTCATATTGTTGCGCAGTCCTCCTTTCATAGGTCTTATCACAGTATCTCTCTTGCCTCGTAAAATCCGTCTGCTCTCTCCCTTGTTCACGTATTTCACTCGACCTCTGCCACCCCATCTGTTCTACTCGAGGCGCTATTCGTCCTCCCTGCGTCTGGGTGACTAATTCGAGGTTAAAGCCTCTTAGTAAGTCTCATTGTCACGCCTTTGCTAAATGGATCACATTTCTGGTTGAACCTACTGTCAGCCAACTAGCTCCAGTCTCCGTCGCGTCGATCCTGCTTCTATCCCTAATACCAAGTCTATGACTTGCTATGCCTTAGTCTCTTGTATACCAACTCACAAATGTTGTGGTACTGCTAGTTTTAATTAGGTTCAATGCTGAACCACAACGTTTGTGCGTTGGCACACAAGAGACTAGGGCAGTCATTCCCTAACTGCGCCACGGCGCCCCGGGGAACCGCGAAATATTGTAAAAGCTCTAATGTGAGAAAATGTTCAGTGATTTGCAGGCTCATCCATCACATTAATTATTAAATACTAATTTAATGCTAATAAAGTAAAAAAAATAATTAAGATACACGAGTTATATTTATTTTTATCTCTTAATTACGAATAGTTATACTTAGGGTAGGGCGCCATTGAAAAAATTTAATTGAAAAAGGGCGCCGCGACTAGGAAAAGTTTGGGAACCACTAGACTGGGACATGGGAAATCATGGACTTGGGATTAGGGATAAAACGGGATAGACGCAGATGAGACTGGAGCTAGTTGGCTGACAGTAGGTTTAACCATGTAGCAAAGGTGTGACAATGAGACTTCATAAGAGGCTTTAACCTCCAATTAGTCACCCAGACGCAGGGGAGGGCGAATAACGCCTCGAGTAGCACAGATGGGGTGGCAGAGGTCGAGTGAAATACGTGAACAAGGGAGAGAGCAGATGGATGGAGCAAGAGCGAGACTGTGATAAGGCCTATGGAAGGAGGACTGCGTAAAAATATGACAAACTCTGATCAGCATTCCCAGCACAAGGGTGAAGGGGGTGAGAACGACAGTGAGGAGCGTGAAAGGTTATCATGAATGCCACTCAAAAGAGCACACCACACTACGTCTAAATAAGCAAGGTAAAAAATAATGACAATGAAGGCGTGATAGGAAGATATAGGAAATTTGAATAGCCCAGGGCAGAAGGGGAGATACCACAACTGTTTAGCACACGTTTGGTCAAAGGATAGACTTACTTGTCTCTTTAAAGAGTTGTAATATGGTGCTAAGAATGGCGAGATGCACTGATGATGCTGACTACGATGCCGGCGAAACGTCTGGGAATGTACCACGTCCACGGTCCGACTCTGGAAATAATC